AAAACACAGGTCCACTTCAAGCTCATTCTCTGTATTCTTTCTTTATGCTTAAATATACACTGGATCATTTGTGACCCCGGGAAAAAAGGTTATTGTTCATCAATTTAGGTTCACATTTAAGGTCAAGTCCCCCTGGTTTCAAGGTGTTCTCCAAATTAAAATTTATGTCAACATATCTACACTTAGTTCTAATTTTTCCAAAGCATAGGACTTGATTTTTGATCCAGGATCAAAAATCCCAGAAGTGAATCCCAGTTCTGCCATGTACTAGCTTAGGCAAATCTCTCAACATTACCTCTGAATATTTCCCTCGTCTGTAAAATGAAAATAATAGTACATACTTCAAAAAGTTGCTGAAAATCAAAGTGTGCCTACAAAGTGGTTGGCATGGTACATGGCACAGAGTAAGAGCTCACTAAACATTAACCATTATTATTTAGCATTCACTTAAAAAATTTTCTAATAGCCACTCCATTCCAACCTTCTTAACACCCTAATTAAATGCCCATTTGTTCATTCATTTAACAAAAATATACCACTTACAAATAGAGTAAATAGATGAATCAAATACAGAACTTTTTCACAAGTACAAACTATTAAGATTTAATGGTAGATAGCAACAAGGCAAGAAATAAATATATACGTTCTCTGGCACTTTTGATGGAAAAGTTAAAGATAATAACCGGGCTCTTTAAAGAGTTCCTTCATTCAACACATAAATGTAAAGATGTGGTGTAGGAAAGTAGTGGAATACAGCATTTTCTAGAGTAAGGATTAAGGACAACTAAAGTACTAAAGGAAAAAAGGAGGCACGTACGGGAAACAGCAAGTAGTTCAGGTTGGCCTCAGTGAAGATACTTGAATAGGAGTAAAAGAAAGTTAAGACTGCCCTCTCCCTTCTTGACCCCTATCCTTTGTCCCCCTCCCTCCTTCCTTCCTGTCACCATCACTTCCAGCACCGCTGCACCCGTAGGAGCTCCCCAACGGTGATGGGTTCTCAGCCCTCCATGTTACCGTGGGACAAAGAGCTCGAGGAGATCAAGAAGGAGATCAGCTTTTCCCACAGTCAAATCACTTGCTCTATAGCCGGTTCACCAGCCTGGACAAAGAAGAGACTGGCACTCTCAGCCAGGAAGATTTCCTGAGGATTCCAGAACTTGTCATCGACCCACTGGGGGACCAAATCATCAACGCCTTCTTTCCAGAGGGAGAGGACCAGGTAAACTTCCGTGGATTCACGCAAACTTTGGCTCATCTCCGCCTCATTGAGGATAACGAAAAGAGCAAAGATGTGAATGGACCTGAATCACTCAACAGCCGAAGCAACAAACTGCACTTTGCTTTTTGACTATATGAGTTCGATAAAGATGATAAGCTCTCCCGTGATGAGCTGATACAGGTGCTATGCTTGATGGCTGGAGTAAATATCTCAGATGAGCAGCTGGGCAGCATCGCAGACAGGACCATTCAGGAGGCTGATCAGGATGGGGACAGTGCCATATCTTTCACAGAATTTGTTAAGGTTTTGGAGAAGGTGGATGTAGAACAGAAAATGAGCATCTGATTTCTTCACTAAAGGACGGAGACCAAACTGTTCCTTGCGGTCTGGTATTTAAGAACTGGAACCTGAAAAGTCCTCCTTCCACCAACCCCACCTCCACCCTATCATTCCCCTTCTCCCAAAGTACTACTGCTGTTGCATGACAACCCCAAATATGTTCTGACAACACAAACCTGCCTTTGGTGCATAAACAGGGCATTACAGAATGGTACACCCAGTCTATTTCTGTTCAGTATGCATTCACTAGTTCTTCATTTATAAGTATCTTCTTCCCCGTTCTGTTGCTGAATGCCACATATCCATACAGTCTGAGAAAGTGAGAGAGGGAATCATGCCAAGAACAAGCCAGCAAAGCTCTTTCACCAGATGTAGACTGTAGCCCTACTGTCTTCCCTCCAGCAAGTCTGCCACCATGCTTTTTCATCCTTTTCATATGTCCTTTGCTTCGTACTTCTGTGTCATGCAACATACTGTTCGCTTAGTCTGGCAGTCTTTCTGCTTTTCATTAAGCACCAAAATCTCCTCTGTTCTACTTGGCACAGCTATGCCCTATGTATTTCTGATTTGGCAGGATAGTTCAGGGGTCTGGCAGTTTTTATTTACCTTCATTATTAAATGGGCCTCTGGGATGTTGCCTCTCCAGGAGCTTTTTGGTAACCAACACTTCTCTGAGAAGTATGAGACCATCCTCTGCATCCTACTCTGTCATCAAAGGGCTGCTGGGTGGAGAAACCCATCTTGAAAGGTGGCGTTGGTGAGAGGTGTGGAGTCAAGTTTTCTAGGTTGCTTGCCCACATCACTCTACCTCTGGCCTCTGATTCTCAACTTTGTACCTACATGGCTCCTCTTGTTAGTGCAGTGTTGACTGTTCAAAAAATAGCAATATGTCTACAGGTTTGCTTAGTTGGGGAACAATGTTACCAGAATGGCTGCTCTGACAATATGCCTGGGGACTTTTCTATGGCTTTTTATCAAGGAGGCTGGGCACCCTATAAAGCCTCACGCATTCACACCTTTACAGCATGGTTTATGCCTTAGTGTTACGTGCACTGGAATGTATTTCACTTCATATTTCCAAGTAGAAAGATTAGTGTTAATTTATCCCAGTCCAAAATATTTAAAGATTGTTTCCTCAGTGTCTTGAAGTTTTGCACAAAATTCTTTTTTTTTTTTTTTTTTTTTTTTTTGAGACGGAGTCTCACTCTGTCACCCAGGCTGGAGTGCAGTGGCACAATCTTGGCTCACTGCAACCTCCGCCTCCTGGGTTCAAGCAATTCTCCCGCCTCAGCTTCCCAAGTAGCTGGGATTACAGCCGTGCACCACCACACCTGGCTAATTTTTTATTTTCAGTAGAGAGGGGGTTTCACCATGTTGGTGAGGTTTGTCTTGAACTCCTGACGTCAGGTGATCCTCCTACCTCAGCGTCCCAAAGCGCTGGGATTATAGGCATGAGCCACCATGCTCAGCCACAAAATTCTTTATGAATTATACACTTGGCAAATGTTAATGATGGAAGCCATAGTCAGTTCCTAATACATGTCCAAAGCATTGACTATTGTATCATTAGCTGCCTGGTTACATTAGCTTCCTAGCTCCTTGTATAGACCACTGCTAATCCCTTAAAAATGAGGTCTGGCACAAGTAGCACAACCTAAGGTGGCATTACAGGTCTTTGAGCAAGCCACAGCAAATTTTCTAAGTCAGCTTAGTTTAGACTTCAGTGAATCAAGCTATTGCCATCCTAATGCATGTCTCTATGAGTCTGTTTATCCAAACATCTGCCCTTGGTTGACTTTCTCTGATTCATTGCTTGCTTGCTTGCTTGCTTGCTTGCTTGCTTGCTTGCTTGTTTCCTTGCTTTGGAAAACTATTGAAGATGTGTACATAATTCTTTAGGAAGGGGACTGCTAAAAAATATGACTGCAAAGTGATGGAAAAGGGTGGAGAACAGGGAAGTAGCTGGGTTGGATGGCTCAAATATAAATGAATGAGAAATTCTTCATGAAGTATCAGTCAGACTTTGTGATCAAGTGAAAATGGAAGAATGTCTGATACTGATCTATTAGGTACTTCAGAGGCTCCTTGACTTGCGTATTTAAAGTTCCTAAGGTTATAGCTTTTCCCCTCTTTTGTCTGTATAGCAAACTGTTTTAATCCACAATTGTGCCTTATTGTTCCATTAAAAGATTATCAACAAATACTTGTGGTTGAAACAAAAAAAAAAAAAGAAAGAGTTAAAATTAAAGTCTGGTCAGCTCGAGATCCTTAAAGGATCTGAAACCAAGTCCAGAATCCCACTTTCATTCTGTCAATAGTGAAAATTTAAAGATTTGTAAGGGGTACAATTATAAGTTCATAACTGTATAGGCAAAAGATGAGTGTGCTATAACATGTAAAATAGATTGGAGAAGAAACGTCTGCTGTACCAGTATGAAATCTGCAAATTAATCAGGCAGCTAAAAAAAACATGAAAAGAAAGTCTGAAGGGAAAAACACTAATACAACTGAATCAGTAAGATTTAAAATTTAATGAAATTTGTGAAGAAGAAATGAAAGATGATTTAGGTTTCAAGCCTTAGGTCTATGAACTGTACTGAGGAAATACGGCTCCCAAACTTCACAGATCACTTACCCATTTTCCAGAATGCCATATCATATTTTAACTTCTTTAATGCACTGAATTATTTTTACCTATCGAGTGAAACATGTATCCTGCAAGAACATGATATAGTAACTAATAAATAGATTCAACAAATCTGGAAGACTGTAAGTATGCAGAGCAGGGAAGAGAATGCGCTACTTATTACATCTGATACATCATAACATGCCAATTAAAAGTAGAATTTGAACTTCTGTAATCATTTTTTCATTAAAATAGGAGCCAGGATTCCTATATCCATTTGTTCACTGGTATATCCCTAAATTTCTAGAATGGGGTCTGGTATATTGTTAGAAATCAATAAATATATTTGTTAAATGCATATATAAATGAGAAAAGAAAGAAGTTACTAAATTTTAAGAAAGGTTCTACGTTGGTCTCAATGTTCTGAGCATTCAATATTCTTGCCCAAGCTTTCTTTTATTAAAATAGCCTTCTGTAGGTCACTCTATTTTGAAAAATCTAAAACTGTGACAGATTTAGAAAAATGTTATGACCACTTTAAGTAATACTAAATCACTGTATTAACCACTAAAAGCCAAAACAAAAATCTTAATGTATCGTCAGACATAAAAATAATAATATCTGAGATTTTATACAGATTTTTAGGTATGCTCCATTTTTTGGGTTGGCTCCATTTCACAGTTTGGAAATATTTTTAACTTCAGACATGTGATATAAAGTTAAAATTACCCCTTACCCACATGAATTTCAAGGCAAATATGTTAGTTACTATATGGGAAATTTTAAAATGTTTACTTGCAGAGTTTATCATCTTACCAGGTCTTTCCTTCCCAGTGCCTTTTGACTCAGCAAATTTTTGTATCAAACTTTCAACTGTAGTATTAGCCATGTTATTTATAAATTCTTCATGGACCTATTAAAATGAAATAAAGATAACTATTTCTTTTTCCACATTCTTAACATATTTCAGATAAAACTTACACAAGACAATTAAAATTAATTACATCAAAATATGTATTTTTGACCCAAGGCCGTTGAGAACCTTAATTTACCTATATTCCAGCATTACTAGATCTGTGGGGACCAGCCATCACTTACATTAACCCCTTAACACATAGCCTCACGCCCCTAGAAGTCAAAGCAGCTTTCTGTTCCCATCTTTGAGCTTTCTAAACATCATTCTTTTTTTTTTTTTTTTTTTTTTTTTTTGAGACGGAGTCTCGCTCTGTCGCCCAGGCTGGAGTGCAGTGGCACGATCTCGGCTCACTGCAAGCTCTGCTTCCCGGGTTTACGCCATTCTCCTGCCTCAGCCTCCCGAGTAGTTGAGACTACAGGCGCCCGCCACCTCGCCCAGCTAGTTTTTTTGTATTTTTTAGTAAAGACGGGGTTTCACCGCGTTAGCCAGGATGGTCTCGATCTCCTGACCTCGTGATCTGCCCGTCTCAGCCTCCCAAGTGCTGGGATTACGGGCTTGAGCCGCCAGGCCCAGCCGACATCATTTTTATAAGACTTATATAGACAATAAAAATACTTTTGGATTAAAAAAACACACACACACAGTCCGACTCTGTCACCCAGATGGCTGAGTGTCATGGCTCAAGGCCGCCTCAAACTCCTGGGCTCAAGTGATCCTCCCACCTCAGCCTCCCAAGTAGCTGGGACTATAGGCACGCACTATCACACACAAAACTTTTTTAACATTTAAAAATTTTTAAGTATTTTTTAAATTTTTTGTAGAGATGAGGTCTCGCTATGTTGCCCAGGCTGGTCTTGAACTTCTGGGCCCAAGTGATCTTCCTGCCTCGTCCTCCCGAACTGCTGAGATTACTGGTGTGAGCCACCATGCCTAGCTAGTTTGAAGAATAACAGACTTCATCTTTCTCTACTATATTTCAATGTACCCCAAATTGTCATCATTAAACTTTTTATATTTGTGGAACACTTCTAAGTAAAAGTTCTATAGTTTAATATAAAGTTGCTGCTTTAAATTTAAAAATAGTAAAGCTTGAAAAAAGAAAATTCAAAAGTTGATAGCTTTAGAAATTCAATATAAAGAAAACTGAAAGTAGTTAATTTAAAAAATTAATTTGAATTATCATCCTTGGTGGCCAAATGATAAAATATCCGGTTTATTTTATATTTAACACATGTAAATATATTATCTTTACATATTCTTTATCTGGAAAAAGTCGGTAACATACTTATGAACTTTGAACAGAGTGAGAAAATATTTTTAAAGAGCTATAAATAAACAAATTTTTCATGAATAGTTCAACATAAAGTAAAAAAACTTACCTGGCCTATCTGCAAATGAATTTCCTTTATAGCATTTGACAAGGATCCTATAATTTCCTTTATGTGAATGAGATGAGTTTCTTCAATATCTTGAAATTTCTGGGTAACATATACAAAGTTATAGATTTATAACATATACAGGTACATACATATGTATTCTGGAATCAAAAGAGCTTTTAGAAATCATCTCTCCCAGCACTTTGGGAAGCCGAGGCAGGTGGATCACTTGAGGTCAGGAGTTGGAGACCAGCCTGGCCAACATGGTGAAACCCTGTCTCTACTAAAAATGCAAAAATTAGCCAGGCATGGTGGTAGATGCCTGTAATCCCAGCAATTTGGGAGGCTGAGGCAGGAGAATCGTTTGAACCTGAGAGGCAGAGGTTCTAGTGAGCCGAGATCACGCCACTGCACTGGAGCCTGGATGACAGAGCAAGACTCCGTCTCCAAAAAAAGGAAATCATCTCAATATAATCAAATTTTCCAAGTTACCATTGTTACACAATGTTTAACAAAGCCTCAAGACAAACAGGTCTAGCAGGTAAACTGAAATATGGCACTGCAAAAAGTTAACTTTTTGTTATGTCATGTTTTAGGTAAATACAAACTTTTCTAGTTTTTTTTTTTTTTTAAGACAGAATCTCGCTGTTGCCCAGACTGGAGTGCAGTGGCACCATCTCGGCTCACTGCAAGCTCCGCCTCCCGGGTTCACACCATTCTCCTGCCTCAGCCTCCCGGAAATACGGCACAGGTGCCGGCCACCATCACTGGCTAATTTATGTACTTTTTCAGTAAGACGGGTTTCACTGTGTTTAGCCAGGATAGTCTCGATCTCCTGTCCTCGTGATCCACCCTGCCTCGGCCGTCTCCAAGTACTGGATTGGACAGGATGTGAGGCCCCATCACAGCCGACTTTGGAGCTATCACCACATCTAAAATGCTATTAATTGTGATCAGAATATTAGGAGACCCAGAAGAGAATAGTGTTTAAAAAACAAAAAAAAAAAAAGTTTTAAAACGTGAGAAACATAGTTGGGCAATAGCAAAAACTACAGTTTACTTTCAAAAGACTTATAATCTGCCCTAGATTTTTCACATGTCTCTCTAATCCTTGGCAATAACTAATATACACCCGCACAGTGGCTCACCTATAATCCAGCACTTTGGGAGGCCAAGGCAGGCAGACACAAGGTCAGGACAGTTTGAGTCAGCCTGACAAATGGTGATCCCCTCCCCCTCTCCCGGCGCTCTCGCCGCTGCGAATCCCAGCCAGGACTGAGCAGGGAGAATGCGAGATCCACGCGGAGGCGGAGGTTGCAGTGAGCCCAGATCCCCCATTGCACTCAGTCTGGCAACAGACGAGTGAAGACTCCATCTCAAAAAAAGAAGAAAAAGAATACTCTACGTAATAGTAGAATCCCCCAAACGCAGATTACTATGCTGATCAACGAACACCTGGGAGAAGCCTATTACTTTATTCTCAGCAGTTCTCAAACTCGAAGTGAGGAGTACGTTAGATCGATCA